CGAATTACGACAATTGCTCGCGATAAACATTTTCCAATAAATTCCATGTGATTTGTGTTTGTTTTCACATTTGCTATTTGCTGTTGAAAGAAGACAAAAAGTAAACAAACGGCAGCAACGGCTATGTGGCGAGAGAGACAAAGAGGAAGAAAGAGAAATGCAAATTTGTGTAATAATATTGGATGATTGGTGAAGCGGTAATGTGCGCCAATTGTGATCGTGCCACCAGCCACAATCATTGCATATATTTTGCTGTTGTTGGTTTCGAAATCGAGCGCAATATCGCATCGCAAACTGAGAAAGTCATGCACACTGAATCGAACGCGAATGAGTTGGAACCGAGGAAGAGCGAGACAGAAGAATGCGAGAAAGAGTGCGAGAGAGACAAAAATTGACACCGCACCGTAATATCAATATGGAAATGTATGTCGAATCGCATTGCATTCAAATCCATGGCATACAAAACTATAGACAGTGGAGTAATAATGAACGAAAAAAAAACCAACGCCGAGTGTTTGCAAGTTTGCAATGGAATGGAAAATGATATGGCACGATGTTGAAAATTCCAACCAACGCGATAAGTCAATACGTTATCATTAAAGAAGACTTTGAAATAGTCGTTTTTTTCGCTCTTCAGACATTTTCGATTTCAGAGCTTAAGTAGCTCTTAGTAGCTGGAGTGTGTGTGTATGTTGTTTGCATGACTAATTAAATTCCATCACTGAATTCCATCACTGCTTTTTTCGTCTCTCTCTCTCTCTCTCTCTCTCTCTCTCTTATATTTCGTGAAGCACGTGAACGTCAATCGTCGCAATAAACTGCGTGCCGTTTGTTCTGTGTGTTACTGTTTCGCTTTGTAATTTGCTTGTTGTTTCTTCTCTCTCTTGTTCTCTTTGTCTATGTTTATCTCTCTCATGCTCGCATTCTGTTGCTAATTGTTTCTCACTTGCTATCGTCCTCTTTCTCTCTCTCTTTCTCTCTCTCTCCATCTCCTATTCTCTGTTCCTCCGTTCAAAAACAAAATGTACTCCCATTGAATTCGCACAGCGTTCAATATAAAACGTGTGTTTGATAAGCCATTTAGAGTTTTATCGGTGTAAACGATCAAACGATCAACTTGATTATGTTTTCGTTGCTGATTCACGTAGAATGGTGCTAAATCAGATTTTTACCTGGCCCAAAACATTACAATTCGATCGAAACCATGTTCAAATTCAGGTGACACACGATGTTTGCAAAATATTATTTATTGTGACACGCAAACAAAACCCAAAACAACAACAACAAAAAAAAAAACAAGAGAACAGAACCTGTTCGCTCAAACGGCAACAAAAAAGTCGGATTCAACGTAACGGAGTTCAAGGGAATAATACCAAGCGCATAATTATATACAATCTTCGTCTATGTCAATCAATTTCATATCATACTGTGTGAGTACATGAGAAAATTCTAGAACAAGCTATTATATGCTGAAACGAAAAGCAACATACACTTGAACACGTTCAAGGCCATCGCATTCACAAACACACACACACACACAATGCATGCGCTATATATTTTCAATTCGAGCGAAATACCGAGCCGCAATTTAATTTGACCAACTGCAAGGCAGTTGAAGCAACAAACAACATTAGAAAATGACTTTAGTTTTTTTTTTGTTCTTGAAGTCTCCTCCTTTTTTGTTCATTACAACTATTCTAAATTCGGAGTACACTTCGGAATTTTGCGGCTGGTTGAAAATTTTCCGCATTGCCGAAATAAGTGGAAAAGTTTTTTTTTGCTTGCAAATCAAATCAACAGATTAATTAATAGCAACTGTGCGCCCGCGCTCACAACGAAACAAATCCAACCTTGACGGATGAATTATAATGTGGTTTTTGTTATGCCAATGTCAATGTCAAATGCTATATCCAGATGAGATAACGTTTTTACACTATCAATTACTCAGTCGCTCAGCTGATAGTTTGCTTATCACATCATTGCTTCCTTTCTGGCACAATATTTGTTGTTGCTGTTGTTGCTGCTTTAATGTCTTTGTCTAAATATGGACTTGGCTGTCGATGACGATGATGATTCGACACAAAACCTAATGGATTTAATTCGATTATGAATTCATTTGTTATGCATATGCTAAATAAAATAACTGGTTCTTCTGTTAAGAATGAGATTTATTGGTGATGCGCCCAATGATGTCATGTTTTTGTGTCAAATTTATGCCCATTCCAAAGTTCATCCCAAAACAATTATGACGTCAATTAGAGGGTATTTTAAACACACTTCTTGTTTACATTTCATTAATTGCCCGTATAAAATTGGTTGGAAAATTCATCGCCCAAGCTGATTTTAGATTGTCGTCAATGGTATCATTTTCTTAGCCCAGAGTCTTGGGCCCCAGACAATATATAGTCACATTCGATTCGCTCTTTATCTCTCTTTCTCTCTCTGTGTATGTTTGGGTGGTTTCAATTTGTATAACCGGACTATTTTTAAATGTTAACTCCAACTCAATTTATTGCCATGTTTAGGAGGTGACAAATACTAATGACATACAAACGATGCAGTCAGATGCATGCTCACGGATAACATCTCCAGTGAAAGAGAGAGGAAAAACCGAACAGAACGAAGGAAGCACAACGAGAAAAAACATTCCGTTGATTTGTTGAAATGATGTCACAACTTGAAATCTGGTGTGTGTCTAAACACATAAAAAAGAGATTCACGGTCACATCAACACATAGTCTCTAACAATCGCGGGTATTATTTGTTTTTTTTTAATCTCCCGTTTGAAAAAAAAACAGCTCGTCCGTTCTTTATGTGTGTCACTCTGTGCCTTATGTTTTTGAGGGGCAAAAACATGAGGAATCGCTTTTTTCGTTCTTCTTTTCCAAATGATTGAATCTGTGTTTCTCTGAAATTTTTTTTTGTTTGATAAATAAAAAACATCAGCAAAGTTAATAGGCCCTAAATTCCGTTAAATACCGAAAACCATGTTAAATTTTCTATTTTCGAAATTCTCACGAGCAACAATTTATTGGAATCATTGAATATGTCAAAATAACGAGATTTGTTTGTTTATATAACATGATGCTCTTTTTTTCATCGCCTTTTTGTTTTGAATTTTATTCCATTTTTTATGTCGATGAATTTATCGCTGGTGTGTTTGTTCCCAAGTTTAATTACGGATTCAAATGCGATTGTTTAAAGTATCTCGGCAATTTAATTATAAAATGAATAGATAGAAGGGGGCATATTGAATGTTAAATAGGTACTTTGGCTACGTTGATGATATTTTATTGCGTTCAACATTTATGTTATTTCAAGTTTTGTGAAGCTGCGACTTGCGTCATTCGACGGAATGCATTCTTTTGTTTGATTTTGCTCTAATAATCAAGGAATAGTCGCACCTTCAAAGACAATCGCCATCTTCAAAGAATGCAGTTCTTATCACTCATAATCTTTAAAAAAAGAATGCAGTTCATATCAAAGTCTCATGCTCTCGTTTCACGTGGTGCTATTACTTCGATTGCTTTATTTTGTTTTAATATGGCCGTCTCTAATCAGTTAATTACTCTGTGGTATTTTTTTTTATAGATTCTAGTCTCACATTCATAACAATTGTTATCAATAATAACCGTCAAGTCACGATTGATTATATTATTGGTTTTTTCGGTGTGTATTTTCTAAATTATCAACGAACTAATATTGACGGAATTTCAACATCAAAACTATAAAAAGGTCATGTTTTGTCTCGTGACCGAAAAAGGGCAGGTTTCAGCGTTTCTTTGTCATTTTTAAGTTGCTTTGTAATGCTTAAGTAAATCAAAATCAATATCAAAACTGCACCCGAATCGAAATCGAACATTGTGCAATTACTGACTCTATATCAAAACGATTAATATTTATATTAATCTCCATGTTATCGGCAGAAGAAAACAAAAACTAGATGCTGCTCTGAATAAAACAAGCAATAAAATCAAAGCGAAAACAAGTCGAAACAGAAGAAAAAAAAAACGAAACAAGTATGAATAATTGCAATAAATATTGACGTATATTCACATGAACAAAATTGCAACAATCGATTTTATTCCAAGTTCGATCCAAAACAAAAACACGACCAACAAACGTCATACAACAGCTGAACTCTCTGTATAGCAAACGTGTGCGCGAAACAAAGAACACTCCAAAATCCATACGATGAACGTAGTTCACAGCATAGCACACAGCTCTCACTTGCACGCTTACTCACAGTCGAACATTTTTCATTTTGCTTCGTTCATTTTTTTTTCATTTCGGCCGACTTATAATTCGCTGACGCAACGTATGACCGTTGCTTTGGTATATTCGATGCAGTGCGGTGTATCGTCAGCTTTGCGCAGAGGCGATATCGTAAACAATGAGGTTCTACCGAGTTGCGATTATTGCTAGTTGAAAACTTTAACCAATACCCCGCCATGACGACGTGAAAAACCGTCGGCTACGGCAATTTTTGAAAGTTCGAAAGAACTTATTAGTCCACACCACACAGAAAGAAGAAACAAATTGAAAAAAAAAATGGAACGAAATGTCTATTTTGTATCATCTGACGAGTGTTGAAGCAAAAAGTCGAAGCAGCGGTCAACAGCTGTTAGCTCATACGTTTGCAGTACGTTTGCCTGTGTACGCGCAATGAGCTTCACAGTGGAAGGTGAACGACTTTCAATGCCATGATTTACAACGGATTCTTAATCTGAAGTTTTGTTGATTTCCATATTTTTACACGTGGAATACGCATCACAATACACATTTCACTTGGATTTCATGCAGGTGTCAATGGCTTTGTTTTATTTTTGTCGGATTTTATCTTGACTTTTTTCGGTTTTTCTACGATTTTTTGGATTCTATTGAAGGAAGCATCGACTTTGTTTGAATTTCTTCTTACATTTAGTTTGAACTTTGCTCATTTCTTATGAATCGTCTTCTTTAATTCAATTTTTTCAACATTTTTTCTCTTTCAATTCCAGATCTTTGGCTGTGGTTGGTCAATTCGGTTTTCGGTTGTTTACAATAAACTCAGTTGAGCGCGTGGAAGAGATATTTTGCAGTAATAATGAAGATACGAAAATTGCAGAAAGGTTGTTCAGTAGCAGTTTGGTGGCAGTTGTCACCACGACTGAAGCGGATAAACTTAAGGTGAGGCGATACAAATCAGAACAGTTATTTCCTTTGAACATTTTTGGCAAAGAAAAAGTTTCCTTTGAAGTCAACCATCAACAATTTTCTGTGTAATTTAAATGAGAATCCATTTTCTTTCCCACCCCGAATTTAGATTTGGCATTTCAAAAAAGGCACCGAAATCTGTAACTATCGCTACCCAAGCGATATCCTATCGGTGAGATTGAATCGAAGCCGTTTGGTGGTGTGTTTGCGTGACAGTATTTATGTGCACAACATTCGTGATATGCGTTTGATGAACTCAATTCGGCACATTGCTCCCAATGATCATGGCCTATGCAGTTTATCGTTGATGTCACATCTCGCGTTCCCTGTGTCAAATGAATGTGGCGAATTGCAATTATACGATGCCGAAAATTTGCGTGTACGAATCAAGATCAAGGCTCATGATTCGCCATTGTCCGCATTCAATTTCTCGCCAAATGGACAACTTCTAGCAACGGCTTCGGAAAAAGGGACGGTGATACGTGTGTTTTGCGTAAAAAATGGGCAAAAAGTGCACGAATTCCGTCGTGGCATGAAACGATGTGTTCAAATAGCATCGTTGAATTTCAGCGGTTGTTCGAATTATCTGTGTGTTAGTTCGAATACCGAAACGGTGCATGTGTTCAAAATTGATTTGAAGCTAGTGGAAGAGGTGGAACGACAAAACTGTATCAATAACAATGACGAATCAAATGATGGTAGCAGCAGCGTTGATACGACATCAAGTGGTGATTCGGTGGAATTGAAATCGGACAGTAGCGGCAGCATCAGTAGCAATCGCTGGTCGATGGGTTTTATAACAAAGTATTTACCGAGCCCGGTGAGCGATGTACTCACACAAGATCGTGCATTCTCAAGTGTTCAACTCAACCAAGCTGGGCTGCGGTATCAATGTGCGATTGCCAAATTGGAAAAAGAATCCAAACTGTTGGCGGCATGCGAAGATGGATTCCTTTATGTGTACGATTTTAATGCGAGCAAAGGTGGCGATTGTAAATTGATACGAGCACACGACCTCCGCAGTCCACTTGACGGCATTACAGGTAAATTTTTACAAGATTTTGCACAATTTTTTTTGGTTTTTGTTTGTTTCTTCCGTTTGCACGCTTGTAGTTTTCAATTTATGTTTTTGTATTGAAACCAGATTTCGATTTTCCAGAGGTGAATCTGGACGAGAATAACTGTGATAGTAAGAGTCAATCGAAAACGCCGGAGAAAAAATCAATCACCGCATCGGTGGGCTCATATGCAAGTGTGCTGAAGGGGCGAGAGAAGAATAAAATGTCAGGTATGTTAACATTTAAACCGGTAAAACCATCCATTCTTCTCTATTCCAAATGTCAAATGTCTATTTCGCTTTTTTTCAATCTTCTAACCATTTTGTCCATTCTCTTTTTCTTTCTAGAATCAGACAAGCGTCGCGATTTATTCGAAGCCATTGAATATCCACCAAAAACTATGTTCGAAGAGGTTCAATTTCCACCTGTGACCGCTGTTCGCGAATGACGTCATCGACAACATTAAGAGCAGACGCACGCGCGCCGACCGACCTATCATTAGATCAATTCTATTCAGAAAAAAAAATGTATAAATTAGCATTGTAGTGTTCCCATTAAGTTATTTGTACTTTTCGTCCCTAAAAAAAAACACATAAATCAACACCAGCACACGCGCAATGCGCGCTGATCGATGTGGAAAATCAATTGACAACACGATTTATATAGTATGTTCGGATTTTATTTTCTTTTTTTTGTCGTCGTTTAATTTATTGTAAAAACAAAATCAGAAAAAAAAACAAAAAACAATATTTGAACAGCATTTCTCTCTAACTATCCTTTTAAAAGTTACAACAAAAAAATGTTCGGCTCAAAGAAGCATATATTCTTATAAACACCAGCAATTCGTTTCTACCTTTTTTCCTCTCTTTTTGCGCAATTCTAGAATATACTTCAAGGAATATTAGTAAAGACTTTGTTGCATTAGTATTAGCTACATGTTTATCTAAGTTTCGTTCGATTATACAAAAAAAATATTACTTTTTACTGTTCAATTTGACAATAAAAATGGAAATGATTACATGACTTCAGCAATTTATGATTTTGAATACATTTTTCGATCCCTCCATTCATTTTTCCGTCTCCTGAAATTTCCAACTCACCCAAAATTGATGTAAATGTAATAAATACTCACTTTAAAAATAGACACACACTGGCATGATTATTCTATTGTAAAACAAAAGCGATTATTCATTAGAACAAATACGACAGACAACTCATTTGTTTTAAATTGCAATCAAAGGCCATCCGGTCATAAGATATGTGTAATAAATGTTTACCTCATCTGTAGCATTTTTTCAGCATCTAGATCACCTTTCTTGTTTCTGTCTTGAGTACGATTAATGTCAGAGAAATCCATTTTCACAACAATTTGTATACGGGATGTTTTGTATGGAAATAAAACTTCTCTTGTGAAATCAATCAGCCAATTTCTATGACCACAAGATAAATGTAGCATTTTCATTCAGAAAATTAAGCAAATTTGCACCGAAACAGAATATTTGATCATTTTTGTAACACATGATTCAATTTCCATTGAAATAAGAAAGTACAGTTTGATAAGCATACAATCTAAAATAAATCAATCCAAATAAATGTCATTGGAATCACACCACAATTGTTCAAATATTTGAGGGAAAAAAACGTCGAAATAAATTGTAAATCAATTCAAAGTCAGCAGCAGTTTTGAATGAAGACGTGATTTTTTGCATCGTATCTCTGATGGTGTGTTTTTAGGCAATGGTACAGACAGTGTACGTCGAAGAGGACAATTCAATAAGCCAGAAGCAAAGGGTAAGTTTCATTTGAGTCGCTGCTGCGGATCGTTTACTCGAGCCATCGACAATGGTTTGCTTGTGCTACTGACAATGGTCTAGTAGACCATTGGTCTGCTCGAGACATTGTTGCACATTGAGGTGATACATTGCAGTTGTAAACCGTCTTAAGAGGGTAGGAAGTTGACGAGACAGCGATGTTTTGAATAAAACTCTCTGCTTTGAATGAAATTTTCTGCATTGAGTAGCATCCGCGGTGTTCGTTTGCATATACGCAATTTCCCAAAAAAATTCAGTGGAAAAATCTCTTGCAAAATGCTACACCTCTTTCATCGTCCATTCTTATAATTCGCAAGAGAAACGTATGCAGATTGCTTTTAGATGAGCTGAAATTTCCGTGTTCAAATCAGCTTTGCGCAGCGGCGATATCGTAAACAATGAGGGTCTACCGAGTTGCGATTATTGCTAGTTGAAAACTATAACCAATATCCCGCCATGACGACGTGAAAAACCGTCGGCTACGGCAATTTTTGGAGGTTCGAAAGAACCACTAATCGTTTATTAAATTTAAGAAAAGGAAAAAGTGCATCGAAGAAAGATTTTCTTTGTGTGAAAAGACACAGAAAAGCGCTTGGCAAATGACACGAAAGAGATCTCTTCGCAACAAATGTAATGGAATTTAAACATTAACGAGTATTTCGAACGCACTCATTTGCAAGCGTTTTAAAAACAGATTCGCGCACAACGGCACAGAAAAAACAATGCACTGATTAATTTCGCAGCATCTTTAAATGCCATAGATCCGATGTATAGTTTTCCCTTGTAAGTCATTAACAGCAATTGAAAGAAAATAACAACAACAGCACATAATCTCACGCATTGTTTAGTACAGCGCTCAAAACTGAGTGAATACAAATCGAAAGCAACGGTCCAACAACAGCAACAACAACAACAACATTTTTCTTGTGAAACAGGCATTGAATGCCAATACACACGCTGAGAAGCTCAACACATGTACACAAACACAGTGGATATATTCGGTATGACGCATATACTGTCACGACCACTGTGTAGCGATGAAATTTCAACAACGTTCAAATGATTACATTGCCAAACAGAAGTGACTCGTTTGTGAGTTAAAGAGTGAAGAAAAAATGAAATTTCCATTGCAAAGAAATTGAAAAGAAAAATCTTTGGGTTGGTTTGATTTGATTTTCCAAAAAAAGAACAATTTTGTTGCAATTCTATTTCAATGTAAACATATCAAACGTACAGAAAGTCGTTTCTGCTTGACTCAAATGGGACGACAATGAATGCAGCCACCGTCAGTGGACGCGTTCATTTGAACGTTTTTGGAGAGGATTGGCGCGCAAAGCTAACACATTTGACGTATTCATAGACATTTATTCATACACAAAACGATTGCCTCATAGATTCCGAACGACACAAACATCACTCATTTTCTTTCTTGCGCGAAACGTGAATATAAAAAAATATTTCTGACATTTTCAGTCCGATTGTTTAATAATTTAATCTTTATTTAACAAAAACCCAACGAACTTTCAAAGTGTATATAAGTGTTGTTGAAGAATCAATCGTCAAACTGTTCTTTAATCGCTTTCCTGTTGTTGATTATTGTTTAATTAATGATGAACTCTTCTTATTTAAAAAAATGTCGATTGTGCTTCGCATCTGAAGGAATAAATGACGCTACCAGTGATTTTTCTCTGGACCTTATAAAAAAATACTACAATGTAGAAGTATGTTTCGAATATTTTTTGCTAGGAATTTTAATCTCACAATTCACAACATGTATATCAATCAAAAATTCATGAATATTTGTTCAGATCATTCATTTTGGATGTTTATCTAAAAGAAACATTGATACCAAATCCAATTTACTTTGTTCCAGATTAAAACCACTGATACGTACACAAAAAACTTGGTATGCCAAGATTGCACCGATAATATACAACATTTTTTGATGCATGAAGAAATGGTTCGCCTTGTCCAAGCTCAATTACCTAATCGTCTCACTTATTAACACACGCAGGTAGTTACGTTTTCGTTTTCGTAATCAAGAAACCAAACTTGAATTGTAACATTTTTACGAGACATGAACAATTATTCATGTAACACTTCAACATCTTATTTCTAGCCAAGGAATTTTGAATGAAAGAATTGATTATTATCTGTGTGTTTTTAGATGGGAGGCTTGAACAAAGGGTGGTTGACCGATTTGAATGACTTGTGTCGTTTGTGCGTCTTTTTGATTGGCGAGAATGACATTACATCCGATTCCGAAATCACCGCAGTGATAAAGCAACATTATGATATTGACTATGAGGCATGTTTCAAAGGTTTTACCCACACTTTATACATTAGTGTCACTGTATATAGACTTGAAAAGCATTAGATTTTGAGGCTTTCATATAAAATATGAAAAGAACACTCTAAATGTTTACTTTTTTTTATAGTTTTGGCCAAAAGATGTTTATCTTTAATTGATTTTGTGTTTGTTTTTCTTTGTTTCAGGTGGATTATGAATATTCCAAAGAGCTATGCAGAAAATGCATGTCAGTGGTTCATAATATTCTTGTGCATAAGACCAGAGTTCGTTCAGGACAAGATTGGTTGAAAGAGATGTTACGATTGTCTGAAAAAGTATGTTTACCTGAATGTCTATCATTTCGTTGAACAGTAAAGTATGAATAGTTTCAGACGCCACTTTTTAATGAACATGATTTTATTCTAGGCAATCAGTTTTAAAATGGAGCAAGAAGGTCCCACGAAGAGCAAAAGAAAACGCATTGAAGAGATCGCGAAGTTCCAAGAAGAACAAAAAAAAACGCTAGCCATGCAAGTAGTCAGTTCAACAAGTACACCCAGTCCAGATGGAACCATACCAGAAGTTGACAAAAGGTACGAAAAAAAAAAAATAAAAAAAAAATCTTTATATGTTATAAGCCTAATGAACAGATTGGCAAAAAAACACATTAAGTAGGATTATTATTTAACATATGAAAACGATCGTATGATATACGTTTTAATTAAGACTTGATTTAAGGCCAACTGGTGTCACAGAGCCGGTCAAATCTTTTTTCCTTCAAGGAAATTTATGCATAATCGACTTTCAAAAGTGGAGACCTTTTTTTGGTCTTCAATTTTTGTCAACGATAACACCCTAATGGATTTAGATCATGCATCATCTGAAGACTTATGGAATAGTTCTTATTTTTGTATATTTTCTTTCTTCGCCAAATCGATGGGTCCAAATTATTAAAATCAGTTCGAATATTGCTTTCAAAACGATTCGGTGGTAAAAAGAATTTCAGTTCGGTTTAGAATGATGAAAAATGTTCAAATCTGTAAAATTGGCATTTTTTTGTTGAACTCTTATGTCAAGAAAATATCATTACTTCAAGCGGTTTATATGATAAATCCCAAATACTTTTTTGACAGAGTGTATTGCTCAAAATTTGAGACTTATCGTAGGTGATTAAAAATAATTTTTTCATTTTTACAGCGAGGAGGAAGACAATGAATAAACGAAAAGGAAACATACAAAAATTCAAACAAATATTTCATTAGTTTCAACAACGGGTGATTCAATTTCTTTGTTTTTTCCCATAATAGCATGTATCATGAATATAAACAAGAAAACATAGGGTGAAATCGCTACAATTGAATTTAGAGAATTTAAAGCTAGTTAAAAATAACAAAAAGAAACAGAACAAAAAAATAATGAAAAAAAAGCATCAAACAAAATGTGAAAGAGTCTGTGATTTTAGAAGGCTTTCGTACAGAGATGACTTTAGCGCACTCAAGTGCGCTACAGCGCACATTTTTTTTAAATAATATTTTGTGTAACATAACGAAGAAGAGCTTACATTTTCTGCCCCCGGTATTCGCATTGTGTGGTCATATGCACCTAGTAATTACGCGCATTGGCTCAATTTCGCAATATTACGCAATTTCTACTTTTGGGGATTTTTTCTTCATATTTTACTAATATAAATGTGGTTTTTCAAAAAATGTTTTTTGTTATGTTACACAAAATATTGATACAAAGTTTTTTTGACCAAAATGGTAAAGTATAACGAAGAAAAAAACAAAAAAACAACACAAATACTCGGGTGCGCTAAAGTCATCTCTGCTTTCGTAATATCTAAATTGAAAGCAAAAACTACAAATTTTAAGTATTTTTAATAACCTACAACAAAGCGCCATCCGAAAAATTATTTTCCTAATAAGATGGCAAAATGAAAAAAAAAAAAAAAAACAAAAACAAAAAACAAAATGTTAGGCAACTCAATTTTTAAATGATTTATTTTAGTTATAGGTATTAATCCAAATAAATGTCATTGCAACCACACCGAAATTGTTCAAATATTTGAAGAAAAAAACGTTGAAATAAATTGTAAATCAATCCAAAGACAGAAGCAGTTTCGAATGAAAACTTGATTGTTTGCATCTCATCTCCGATGCTGTTTTCTTAGGGAATGTAAATGGTACAGACAGTGTACAAGTGCATCAAAAAGAAAGAGGACAATTTAATAAGCCATAAGCAAAAGGTAAGTTTCATTTGAATTGCTGTTGTGAATCTTGTGCTATTGACAATGGTTTGCTCGGGGCATTGTTGCATATTGAGGTGATACTATACCGTCTTGAGAGGGTAAGTGAGTTGACGAGACAGCAATGTTTTGAACTGGGGGCATATTTCTAGATGTGATAGTTGTAGCATTTATCAGTTTTCCGTAAAAAAACCAAAAAATTTGGAACAATTCGTAAATTTAGAACGAAATCGCAGCAATTCGTAAGAATTTGTACATTCAATATTATACATTCCTATGGCGAACCTCTTTTTCTCTACCTGCGTCTGTTACAACAACAAAATACGCTACGCAGTGTATTTGAATGTACGACTGTCTGTGTATCAGTCGCAGAATATTCACAAAAATTCGTGAATATTTGTAAGAAATTGTAATAGCCGGCAGTGTTCCAGGCAATATCGTAAACAATGAGGTTTTTCCGAGTTTCGATTATTGTTAGCTGAAAACTATAACCAATATCCCGACATGACGACGTAAAAAACCGTCGGTTACGGCAATTTTTGGAGGTTCGAAAGAACCACTAATCGTTTTTTAAAATTGAAAAGAAACAAGTGTATCGAAGAAAGATTTTCTTCGTGTGAAAAGACACAGAAAAGCGCTTGGCAAATGACACGAAAGAGATCTCTTCGCAACAAATGTAATGGAATTTAAACATCAACGAGTATTTCGAACGAACTCATTTGCAAGCGTTTTAAAAACAGATTCGTGAACAACGGCACAGAAAAAACAATGCACTGATTAATTCCGCAGCATCTTTAAATGCCATAGATCCGATGTATAGTTTTCTCTTGTAAGTCATTAACAGCAATTGAAAGAAAATAACAACAACAGCACAATATCTCTCGCATTGTACAGCGCTCAAAACTGAGTGAATACAAATCGAAAGCAACGGTCCAACAACAGCAAAAACAACAACAACAACAACAACAACAACAACAACAACAACAACATTTTTCTTGTGAAACAGGCATTGAATGCCAATACAAACGCTCAGCAGCTCAACACATGTACACAAACACAGTGGATATATTCGGTATGACGCACATACTGTCACGACCACTGTGTAGTGATGAAATTTCAACAACGTTCAAATGATTACATTGCCAAACAGAACTGACTCGTTTGTGAAATAAAGAGTGAAGAAAAAATGAAATTTCCATTGCAAATAAATTGAAAGGAAAAATCTTTGGGTTGGTTTGATTTGATTTTCCAAAAAAAGAACAATTTTGTTGCAATTCTATTTCAATGTAAACATATCAAACGTACAGAAAGTCGTTTCTGCTTGACTCAAATGGGACGACAATGAACGCAGCCACCGTCAGTGGATGCGTTCATTTGAACGTTTTTGGAGAGGATTGTAGAAAGGCGCGCAAAGCTCACCACTACACCGACACATTTGACGTATTCATACACATTTGAAAACGATTGCCTCAACGATTCCGAGCGACACGAACATCACTCATTTTCTTTCTTGCGCGAAACGTGAATCCATGTGCAAAAAAAATTTACTTTTTTTTACATTCATAACCGGTGCAGTGTTTTCATTTTTATCTATATATTTCTTTCCAAAAAACGAAGAAAATAATCATTCGGAACAATAAAAAGTCGAAACGTGAACGTGAAACATTAAAATTCATTGTTTTAAGAGAGGCAAGAGCCATCAATCAGTCAGTTTTTTCGGGCATAAAATTTCAATAGGAAAAAAAATAACTCTATTCAATACGAGCATTTTGCACACACAAGTTTCGTCGAAAATGACTCAATTGCTTCAAGTTCTCGAAAAGACTGTGTCACCAGGTAAGCAATCATTTTCTATCAATTCATTACATGAGTGTACAGTAAAGAAAAACGTGATTTTACGATACAGAAAGAAAAAAATTGAACGAAAGAAGAAGAAGAAAAAAATTGTCTCGCGCTGTCGCGTTGATGCCGTTCCTCACAGACTATTGTTTCGATTCGTTGACATTCATATTTCGTTTGACGCATTAAAAAAAAGACTTTTTTTCGTCGTTAATCCGAACGAAAACCTCAAGCATTTTTTTCTAGCATTGAATTTAAATTTGTCGCTAGACCAGCGAAATAGCGAAGAGAAAAAGAGTGTTAACAATCATGCATTTCGTGTGATATCGCGTCTCAAAGAAAAAAAATGTTGTTGCCAAATGCGAACATGGCGCTGGTATATGGAAAGCTATGTTTCGCTTTATGTGTATGGATATATAGTGGAAAAATTTATTGACCTAACCTAATTGACGTCTCAAGGGTAGACATGCAATGAAACGGAGGCACAGTGAAAAAAAACATTTTTTTTATCGAATCGCAAGCGCTATTTTTTATTTGCATGCCCATTTTTAATTGAAAAATATTATGAAATGAATATATTCTTCTCTTTCCCTCTCTCTCTCTCTCTGTTGCCATTCGCTCACACTGAAATGTAGTAAAACGTCGAGTGTTCAAGTGTATGGCAACATTTGTTTGTCGTGTGTTTTGACTCGAAGCAACTTCGAGAAGAACACTTTTTGCGTATTGCTTTTGATACCGTTGTTCGTTCGAGATGTCGTGGCTCATGCTTAGTTCCTAAGCTATTTTGCATACAAATAGCGCGCCATTTCGACAAAATTTTTCGTTCACTTTTCTTTCGATCAACTGTGTTTATTCGCTCAGTTAAGTTTCATTTATCGCATTCGCTAATTTTTTTTTCCATTTCTGTTTGTTTGTTTCCACCTGCGCAACACAGACCAACATGAATTGCAGTCGGCGAAAACATTCTTGGAACAAGCGGCACAACAAAATATTGCCGAATTTCTAAAGGCATTATCTGAAGTGTTGGCCAACGTAAGCTGTAGTGCTGTTGCACGTACCGCAGCTGGGCTTCAGTTGAAAAATCATCTAACGAGCAAAGATTTGACCGTCACCGAACAGTACCATAAGAGATGGCTGTCATTCGACGAGGTCACGCGGGAATATATCAAAACTAATGTAAGTATTTTGGTTTTTTTTCCCATGGGAAGGGTTTTTTGTTGGATTTGATGGATTTTCATTTGTTTTTCAACTTTTTATTCAAATTTTGACTTCTTTTCGAAGAAAATTGGCAAAATTTGACTTTGATTTGATTGGTTTTACGTTATTTTCATAGAAATTCATTAAATATATGGGCCAATCGATATCATACTGTTGTTTTCATTCAATTTATTCACATTCGTTGTAAATATTTGGCAATTCGCGGAATAAATCTTGATTTTCTGAGTTCTCATCGCATTTTCCCATCAATTTCTGTCGAACATTGGCATTAAACCAATTTTCTTCATCTCCACAGATCATTCAAGCGATTGGAACGGAAACATCACGTCCATCGTCAGCTGCACAGTGTGTGGCATCTGTGGCAGTTGCTGAAATACCAGTCAACCAATGGAGCCAGTGTATACCCACCTTGGTGAACAAAGTCGTTTCCGAGGGAACAACAGAAAGGTCACGGGAGTCCGCATTGGAAGCTATCGGTAAAGACACATTCATTTATCGCTTTGAAACCAAAGCCTATCTATTTAGAAACTGAAAAAAACACTAACGCAATTCTCTCCCAATTCTACAGGTTATATCTGCCAAGATATCGCACCTGGGGTGTTGGAAAGTCAATCGAATCAGATTCTTACTGCGATTATTTTTGGTATGCGCAAAGTAGAGCCAAGCAATCATGTTCGATTGGCAGCCACAAATGCGTTGCACAATTCCCTCGAATTTACCAAAGCAAATTTTGATAAGCAAGCCGAACGGAACTACATCATGGAAGTGGTGTGTGAATCAACACAGAGTCCCGATTCACAGATTTCTGTTGCGGCATTGCAATGTTTGGTCAAGATATTGACATTATACTATCAATACATGGAACCATATATGGCACAAGCATTGTTCCCGATCACATTGGAAGCCATGAAATCGGACAACGATCAGGTAGCTCTGCAAGGCATAGAATTTTGGTCGAATGTCGGGGATGAAGAGATCGACTTGAGCATTGAAACTCAAGAAGCTCAAGAAGCTGGTCGACCACCGACTCGAGTCTCAAAGTTCTATGCTCGAGGTGCACTTCAGTATCTCGTGCCGGTATTGATGGAAAAACTGACCAAACAAGAGGAATACGACGACGAAGACGATTGGAATCCATCAAAAGCGGCCAGCGTTTGCTTAATGATCTTATCATCCTGTTGTGAAGAAGAAATCGTACCGTTTGTACTACCATTCGTGAAAGAAAACATCAAATCACCAAACTGGCGGTTCAGAGACGCCGCATTGATGTCGTTTGGATCGATTCTAGGTGGTATCAATGAGCAAACGACAAAACCGCTTGTCGAACAAGCCATCCCAACGTTGATCGAATTAATGTACGATGAGAGTGTCACGGTACGTGATACAACCGCTTGGGTATTCGGACGAGTATGCGAGCTCTGTCCATCAGCCGCTATCAATGAGGCATACTTGAAACCATTGCTGGAAGCTTTGGTGCGTGGACTCAAAGCCGAACCGCGTGTTGCGGCCAATGTGTGCTGGGCATTCACTGGATTGGTCGAAGCAGCCGCCGACACCGAAAACATCGGCGAAGGTATGCAAGAAACAAACTGTCTGAGCCAATACTTTGAGTTCATCGTCTCACAGCTGCTCGAGACCACCGATCGTCAGGATTGTGGCCAGGCCAATTTGCGCGCAGCCGCCTACGAAGCACTGATGGATATGATCAAGAATGCACCAAACGATTGCTACCCAGTGGTGCAGAAGACCACCATGGTTGTGTTGGAACGTCTCAATCACGTGCTCCAAATGGAATCCCAAATCCAACACACCGATCGCTATCAGTTCAACGATTTGCAATCACTTTTGTGCGCCACATTGCAATCGGTGTTGCGCCGTGTAACCCCGGACGACGCCCCACAAATCAGCGACGCGATTATGGGCGCTTTGCTCACGATGTTCAGCACCAGTGCTGGCAAATCGGGCAACGTACAAGAGGATGCATTGATGGCCGTTTCCACATTGGCCGAATTGTTGGGCGATAAATTCTTGAAGTACATGGACGCATTCAAACCGTATCTCTACATGGGATTGAAAAATCATCAAGAACATCAGGTATGTGTGGCAGCTGTCGGTCTCACCGGTGACATTTGCCGTGTGCTTCGCAACAAAATTGCACCATACTGCGACGAAATCATGACGTTGCTGTTGGAAAATCTCAGTTTGCCGAACTTGCATCGTAACATCAAACCGCAAATTTTGTCAGTGTTTGGCGATATGGCTTTGGGCATTGGCACTGATTTCAAGAAATACCTGATGATCGTACTGCAAATGTTGCAACAAGCATCCACATTGCAAGTCGATACCAACGATTACGAAATGGTCGAGTACTTGAATGAGCTGCGCGAAAGCGTTCTCGAAGCATACACCGGAATCATTCAAGGATTGAAAGGTACCGATCGTGCACCACATCCAGACATTGAATTGCTAAAAAACCATGTACCTCACATCATTCAATACCTTGTGACCATCGCACAAGATCCAGAAATGAATGATTCAATCATCGCCGTTATGGCCGGTTTGGTTGGCGACTTGTGCAACGCATTTGGTCCCGCTCTGCTTGCGATCATCGACAACGAACACATCGGCAAGTTGCTCCAGGAAGGTCGCAAATCTCGTGTGTCACGCACAAAACAACTTTCAAGCTGGGCTTCAAAGGAGATCAAGAAACTACGCGAGCAACCCATTCAACAGATCGCTGCCAGCAGTTGGTAGGTATCATTTCTTTTCCTCAGTTGGATAGCATTCAGATTTTTGTTTGGTTTTTTTTTCTGTTAAATTTTTAATTGTTTTCTGCTTTTTCTTTGCTTTGTTTTGCTTTGCTTCATTTTTCGATTTTAAATTTTAATGTTCGTCGTGATTTGCCATGTTTTCTGAAATTATTTCAATT